GGTAGTGGGTGGGTGGGGGGCCTCGGAGCAAGCGGAGCGCAAGAGCAAATTCGCTAGTCAGGCGCGCCCCGCCTCTTCTCCCGCGTACGGGACTACAGTTCCCATCACCCGATCTCCTGGGATAGATATCCGTAGTGGAACGGGGAAGCAGGAAGAACAGATGTACAGGGACCAAAGTTTAATTTTTAAATGATGATGATGGTGGTGATGATGGTCATGATCATGATAGCAGCATTTGTGTGTGGCAATTCCATTAAAATCGATAGGACATCCAATTAAGTGTATAGAGCGTACAGTATTCCAACTCAGTCAGCAATATTTCACAGAATATAGTAGGTTAGTTTGAACCTATAGGCAGTTTAGGTAGTCTGCCGTAGTTTATCCATCAAGGCATAAATGAAGCACTGTTTATTTGTTCTAGCATTGCATGCTGTGTGAACACAGCAACTGGCCCTTTTTAAAACTAGGATTAGGTTTTAGCTGGTTGTATAAACCCAGCCCAGTTCTCTGAGCCTTGCCCCTAAGTAAGGAGGCATGGTACCACAGAAGTGTGCAACTCTTGTGCAACTCTTTGTGTGACCCACTGAAGCTACTGGGTCTTATGCCCAAGTAAGCCTGCAGAGATCTTAGCATTTGAAACCACGTTTTTCAGAAGCTGGCTTTTAAGTTCTGGATAGAGCTCAGAAATCAAGTGTCATCTCGTTCAAGTTGACCCAAAAGTTGAGAAAGTTTGAACTTACTTCTAAACAAGGGAACATAAAATGGCAAACTTCTTTTGGAGTCCTCTCAATTTCAGTGGAAAGCATTGCAAGTCAGTAAAAAGTTCTTACGTTCAGTCTACAGTGCTGAAGTGTTGAATGTATGGTATGTTGAAAGATGTAGCCTCATAGAGTCAATAAGGTGCTGAACTAGAAGTGTGAAAACCCAAGTTCTAGGGCTCCCTTAGACACAGAAGCTGGCTGGGTGACTTTGGGCTAGTCACTGACTCTCATCTTTAGACCAGGAAGTTGAAAACATCTATCTACCAACCACATTGGACCAGTATGAGAGTCCAATAACCTGTCTATTACCTTCAACAAAGAGGCCTTCATCCTGCAGTGGATAGATTTGAGATCATCATCATCATCATCATCATCATCATCATCATCAGAAACATTCCAGCTGAAAGGAGCTCTTTTCTCTCCCAGTTAAGGTTGATTTAAGAATATAGTTAACCCTCTTAACGTTTGGAATTCGTTAAGGTATCTGGAGTTACAACAAATTCCATTTTCCCTATGACTCAAGTAACTTTGCAACATGTTGATGGAAACTTTGCTTTTATAGTTTCTTTATAGTCTCATTAGCATGAAATCTGTCCTTCAATTTCTTTCTTCTGCTGCAAAAAAGGCCTTTTTTTCCTACTTCATTCTCAGGATAGTTTTGAATTTCTTTCCATTTCTCTTGGCGGTTTAGAGCTCACACTTGTGAGATGGCCACATATCCGTGTCGCTCTTGTTGGAGCAGTGACATCTGCAAGAGACAGAAAGGTGAAAGAAGGATTGTGCCATAAGCCCCACTGCTTTTGTACCTGCGTTGTGACATCACATGTATGCACAAAGGAGGCGGAGCTTGCAGGGCAACGGCTCGATGCTGCTTTTGTCTTTTTCTTGTTGCAGAAATTTCCCTCCCTCTGCAGCCTGGTGACTTCATTTCCTGATCTGAAGGGGAGTTTCTTGGGATGCAATGAAGGAGAAGAAGTCAGGGAAGGTGCAATTGCTGAAGCATGGATAGTACAAGGAAAGGCAAAAGCCCTCCTATCATTGCTAGTCGAAGTTTGATTATAATCAATATTAGTGGTAGAAGCCCCTCTAGAAACAAACATTTCACCAAAACTGACTTAATCCGTGAAGGAAATAGAAACCAACTTTTTGTCCAACAAGGGGAAGGAAAATGTAGGAAGTCCCCAGGTTAAGAACGCCCAGTTTAAGGACGGCCCGTAGTTAAGAACAGAGCCTATTGTAGCAAAATTCGAGTTAAATACACCATGATTCGAGTTCATTACCCAATACTACTTATACAGTATTATACAATAACACTGTTCTGGCTTACATAGAAATTCAACTTAAGGACAGACCTTGGGAACGGGACTCGTTCTTAAACTGGGGACTACCTATACAGACAAAAATATACAGACAAATGAATATTCAGCACCTAGCAGATTTTTATATTACAACTGCCCAATTGCATTCAAACATGTTTCTTCACTAGAATGCCAGCTGCGTTTTTAAATATACATTAGGGGGAAAAAAGAAAGAAAGATGCAGAGTTCTTTGTTTTCCTTTTGTTTTATATCATCCCAATTTTCTCCAAACCAAACTTTTTCTGAAATGATTTATGAAACCCAAAACTTTTATTTCTAAACTCTGTTGCAGGGGAAGGCAACCTGGTGACCTCCAGATATTTTAGCCAATAGTCCCCCCACAACTAATGGTCAGGAATTACAACTGGTATAGTCCACAATAAATAAATAATAATTTTTAAAAAGTCACTCAAAAAAAAGTCTCAGCCCTAGGAAGGAGACAATGGCAAACCACTTCCGAAATCTTGCCAAGAAAACTGCAAGGACTTGTCCAGGCAATTGCCAGGAGTCAACGATGACTCGAAGGCACCAAAACAGCGACTTGGAGAACAAATTCCAAATATCTTTTGGAATTAAGGGATTTTAGATGTTTGTGCTGGGTGGTTTGGCATCGATGATATTAGCTGCACTTCTGCAACCAATATCTTTTGTTTCATACATTCAACCTTGCTCAAACTCTGTGACTCCTTAAGCTTAGAATCCAGTGCTGCATAATGCAGAAAGTGGATGTATTTTTATCCTCTACTTGGGTTCCACCAAGATCGTGCCACACATTGTACCGGAACCTTCTCTTAAATCACTGGGATAAAGACAGAAATCTGAAGTCATTTTGGTCATAGGAATGAGGAGCGCTGGTGGACTTTCTACATCCCACCTCGCCAGCATAAAATAAAAAAGAAATTAAGTGTAGGCAAATGGCCACAATGCGGACTATGGTATTTGGAAATCTTAATTTTATAATAAGATCAAGGTTCAGTTACATGGATGTAGTTTTTTTTTTTTAAATCTAAATTACAGACCAGGGATTTTCTGGTCATTTCTCCACATATGAAAAGTATGAAGTAAATCTGACTGCTTAACTTTTTGAAAGATCAGCCAAGATCAGCTAGGTACTGTCACATTCTGTGTGCTTCTTCAGGTCCAACTTGATGCCTGAAGATTGCCAGGTAGGTCCATATTTTTCTTGGCAGCAATATAGAAATGGTCCTCCAATTGTCAATTTGTAGGATTGGGTGGGGGTGTAATTTCCCAGTGTACAGCCCAGTGATTTCTGATAGTCTCCCCTCCAAATGTTAACCAGGTCTGGCCATGCTTACTCCCCCCACCCCCTCCAAATCAGTTGAGTTTGGCTAGTGCTGGCACCAGCTGTAACAACTTTAAAAGAAGAACAATTATTAATAATTAGATCTAGAAAGAATTGTAGCTCTAGATAGGAACAGGAATGCATTCTCCATTTATCAAAGGGCAGCCTCATAGCCTTTCTTTGCACTGGACTGGAGTATTTCAAAATCATAACTTCATAATAATGTTGCATAATTAGCATTGAAAGGAATTGCAGCTCAGGGGAATGACTAGAATTTAATAGAGCACCAACGTTCTTAAAGTTGCATTTTTTAAAAATGGACACAGAATCTGAAGTAAGAGCATTGTGGTTTTACTAACCCCTCTGTGTGCATGGAAAAGAACTGTACAGCAAGTCACGTGCTATAAAATCATAAGATGTGGCTTTGAAGCCAACCATCAAATGTTTTGGAAGTAATTGCCAAAAAGCGGTAGATTTTAATGAGCAGCACAACTGCTGAATTATGCCATGGGGAACAGAGAATTATACT